ACGGGTAGCTCTCCGTTCAGTCACCCTTGCGGTCGGCACGGCTTCCAGTCGGCCCCTCCACTCGGTTCGCACTTCTCTTCCTTATTACTATTCCCTTCGTTGGGCTAAAGTTACACTCGGAAATGGGGACTACTGACATGGATAGGCCCACAAGGCATACGGCCCACAGCAAACCACCCCAAACCCATCGCTTTGGGACCAATAACATAGCCCGGTTGGCAAAGCCCCAGGACAGTTGGAGGCCATCTAGATATGGGGGCCAATGGCATTGCGGGCACATGCAGGTGGAACACAGGCCACATCAGCAGACAAAGATCTGCAGAGTTATTACCAACAACACATCACCATTAATGCAGCCCATCACAGCATTTATTTACGACAACACCTCCCCGTCAGAACAGAGCCCCCTCACCCTGAACAAGGTAAGCTACGGCACAGGCTTTCGGCGGAAGGGGCACGTCACAAGGGACAGTGAAATGATTACCAAAGGATATAAGCAAGAATAGAAAGACAAGAGAAAGGTTAAGCTTTTTATCTATCTCTTCTCTCTCTCTACATTTCCTCCTTCCACTACTAATTCTCTCGCCGGAAGGGTTCACTGGGGACTGCCCCGTTCCCCTTTGGACTTGCTTGCAGGTCATTTGACGGAATCATCACCCTGAACCGGAACTTGAAGAGCTTGGACCAGCCCGACCCATCCACCCGGGACGAACTGCATTATCAAAAGTATAATCATATCTCCATAGTTTGGAATAATACTTGCATAGTTCCTACGTCATTTTTAAAAAATTAATCAAGATAAGAATGTCATAGTATTATAAAAATTATATAAGAGAATAGTTTTAATCCATTTTTATTATAAAAAAATGATAAAAAAAATTATTTGAATGTACTTGAAAAAATATAACAAATGATAGCTTTAATCATTATATACCAAAAAAAATTATATCGGTTACTCAACGAAAAAATGGTCAAATACAAAATAGAGTCATGAACATTGAATAGAGTCATGAACATTGAATTAAATCATATGGGCTCTAAATTGATAGTATAATCTAGCAAATCTACTAATAATAACATAGAGATATTGACAAATATGTAGTATTTCCCTATCATCTTTGTATTTATTATTCATTAATTTCATATATTATATGAAAGTTTATTCGTCTCGATTCTCAATAAAATAAGGGATCAAGAAAACAAATTTGATAAGAAATTGATTCTAAACTTAATTATTGAAAAAACAAAAATTTCAAAGAGAGAATTTAGAGATGGGATTGAAGAAATACTATAACGAATGGCAGCCTGTATAAAAAAATTAAAAAAAAAAAATAACAATGATCTAATGCAAATTATTTTTAATAACTAATAGAAAGAATATCAAATTATTACCTTTATAATATAGTGAAAAAAATTAATTTTGTGAGATTTTTGTGCTACCTTCTCCCATGTAGCCTTTATTATTTCATTATTAATACTATTTCTCATTCAGAGCGATAATTTTTTTTTTATTATAATCTTTATCATTTGGTAAGATAATAATGAATAATAAAAAATTATACAAGAGAAGGTTAAGAATGTAATAGGAGATAAGAAGTTATAGATAAGAGAGTATTTCATAAGATAAAAAATTAAAATAAAAAAAGATTAATAGTGATAGGAGAAAAAAAAATGAGTAAATCAAAATAAAGATTTAGATAATATATGTTTTTGATAGATATATAGATTAACAAATCATATCTTTATCTAAATTTTATTATTTAAATTTTTTGGAAATCAATTATTTAATCTTTATCTTTTTTTGTAGGCCACGAGAATAATCTTTATAAATTATTATCAATTTTTATATGTTTATTTATCTATAAGTCATGAAATTATTTTTTTAAATAATTTTAAAATTTTTTATCTTTATCTTATAGGTCATGAAATAAATTTTTATAAATTATTTATGAATTTTTAATTTAAAGTACGAAATGAGGAGGGAAAAAAGAGTGTAATTTTTGTTTTTTTTTTAAAAAAAATCAATTATTAATCTTTATCTTTATTTGTAAGGCCATGAAATTAATTTTTATAAGTTATTATCAACTTTTATTTGTTTATATGAGCAGAAATTTTAAATTATCTATAAGTTATAAATTAACTTTTTTAAATTAATTTTTATTTTTTATCTTATCTGTAGATTATAAAATTAATTTTCTTGTTTATATGTTTATCTATATGGAGGAATTTTGAAATTCAAATCTTATCAATAATACTGAAATTAATTTTAATTTTAATTTAATCAAACAAATTAAAAATGAAGAAAAATAGAAAACATGAAAGGCAATCAAATAAGGTTGCCACGTAGAAAAGAGTGTTTTAAAATTATGAGAATTTAGGAATAAATTATTTGGAATTTTTGACAAAATAACTACATTTGGTTATATATATAGTATAGATTTATTGTTCTACTCGTGCTATGCTCAGGTTTTATTTATAATTATACATTATAATAGTAGGTGTTGGAAAATGGCTATTTTTAGAGGCTTTTTGACTTTTTGACTATTTTAGGCTAGGTTTGGGAAGATGGTTTGTGGCTATTTTAGTCACAAAAGACAAAATAGACTATTTTGCCACAACAAACAAAACATCACATTCAATCTATAATCATTACACTCTTCTCTCACAAAAAAATCAAAAAAACCAAAAAAACTAAAAAATCCTTCCCAATTATATGGATTCTTTATTGTGTAATGTATCAAGTTGGTTCAAGGCACCAACAACAGCTTTATTGAAACAATGAAAACATGAGTGGATTAATCTCTTATTTCATGCAAATATTTCAAAAATGCAGTAATAAGTGGATTCAATCCTTTTAAAGAGAAATAAAATTTATAATGTTTGTCACCTTTGGAAACCCTATCAAAAAAATACTTTTAATTTTTATCTCAACAATACAATGAGTTGATTAGAGCAGCGGATAACAACCTCAAACTACATACAATTTATTAGATCAACACAAATCAAAACTAAAAAAAAAAAATAGATTGATCAAATCCAACATCAAATGAAAATCTATCAGAAAATGATTCAAATTGAAAGTATATACGCATGCCTATATTAAATAGTGCATATCTAAATGAAAACAATAATAATAAAAATAGACTTCAAATCTCAACATTCAATTGCTCAAAAGTTTAACACACAGTTATTCTCAAAATTTTGAACTTTTATTTTCTAAAATTGTAGACAACAAATTGAAAAATTCATAATTGAGAATAATTTTTATCACAACACTTCATATCAAAACCTTAAGGATAACTCAAAATAGATGTAGAAGTGAAGAATTATCTAATTGAAGACAACCAAAATAAAATCAAATGACGTGAACGTAAAAAGAATGCATACAAATAGAGATTACCTCATAATACAGTAAAAGAAATATTTATCTATATAATAAGTCATAAAGGTTTTTGAAAATGTCTAAAATGTATGAGAGACACATTTCATTTGGATGGCTCAGAATGAATCCTAAGTGTATATCAATGGTTTAGATCAATGGGTTGGTCCCGCCCAACACAGTTTGATTGATTTGCCTGTTGTCTCCTCAGTATTTACCCTCTGTTTCCCCATACCCTCTGTCTACCATCTGTCTTCCCATACCCTCTATCTACCTTCCCTCTCTATCTTCTTCTCTGTCTACCATCTGTCTCCCCATTCCTACTCTGCACTAACTATCCCCTCAGTATCTACCTACACTCTCTATTTCCCTCTTGTCTACCATCTGTCTCCCCATTGCTGAATTCCTTGCTCTGTTTCAATCTTCTGGGTGTGTTTTTGGGTTTACCCACATTTGGAAAACTCCTATAGATTTATTGTGGTGTGATGTATGAGATTGTGTGTGCAAATTATCTTATTGTATTGGGTTTGGATTTTGAATGATATATATTTTGAGTTATACGGGTGATATTGAGCCCAATTGATATATACGGGTGATATGGTTTGAGTTATACGGGTGATATTTGAGTTATACGGTTTGGATTTTGTTATTGGGTGTGTGCAGATTTGGATTACACGAGTGATATGCATTTTTATTATGGTGTCATCTGCGTGTGTGCAGATTTGGATTAATGCTTAGATTTGAATGATATATATTGAGTTATTATGGAAAAGATACACTGTGCAACAGATTTGGATGATATAGATATATGGAAAAGAAATTCTGCAAATCAGACAAATGATATATATTATTTTAGTTATAGGGATTTTATTAGACAAATCTATAGTTATTGAACTCGCACAGAAATTATTGCACAGACCAATCTATAGTTATTGAATGA